ATTCGAACCTCATTGCTCATATTAGTGGTATGAGGCAAGACTTGTTAAACACAAAGCACCAAGCTTATTGTTCGTTCATGAATTCAAACTGGGTCAACCAAAATTTGTCCAATGAAATGCAGGTCGGTAACCATTGCCAACTTGATGAGTCTGTATTACTAGGCTGACAGTGCATGTCCTGCTTTCTTGAATGTAGCACACCGTAACACACTTTATTTCCTGTTGACTCAGCCATGCTAAAGTCGATTCGAGATTCGACACGAAACTGGCACAGGCGGAGAAAGAAACCAAATTTAGTTTCAAAAACCACCTGCATCTAAGTCCCATTTGAACAACAATTTATGGCTGGTATAGCGACTGCAACTGCCACCTTCGGTGTTGCCTCGTGGCATTGTTGGACTTTGTGGTTGTTCAGTTTGGGTGCTTTTTTGTCACCAATCTCAGTGGTTGCAGTGGCTTGTGATGCTGTCTTCCACGACCGTGAATGACGCGGTATTAGAGTTATCTGCTGTTTTTTATGCGTGTAGACTCGAGACTGAAACATAGATGGTCTCTTTGTGTGGAGGTATGACTTAGCAGTATAGCATCTGGACACACAGTCGTTCTTAACGCTAATGCCTGTGCTGAAGTTTATTTTCAATTTAACACAGCTTTTTTACAGCCACAACGCACAGACAATGACGAAATCAAAAATCAGCTAATCGTGTTCATCTCGTACTCGGCAGTGCCTTCCACGATGTCCTGTCTCATGATCTTAAGGTACATACATCACCACAGGGACGCTTATTTGTACGCACAGTGGCTGCACCCCCCTGGAAACGTGGTCCACTTGTAGTCGACGAAGTCGACATGACTAATAGATAAAGGCGAGGAAATTAGGGAACAAGTTTGCACCCATTTAACAAAACCGACCTCTTGATCTCATTACGGCACATTAAAGTCACACACAACTCCGTTTACGCTGCAAACCTTATTAGTCATGAGTTATCCACATGTCCCGAATCTTTGAACTGAACCGATGTTTGCATTGCAACTACTACCTTCAAGGGGCTATTTTGCCAACTCATTGTACAAACATCACATTCACTCAACACCGCCAGCATTTCCTAACGGTCAGAGGGGGAATCGTCTGACAATTGGCAGTATGTTAGCAACAAGTAGAATATTATCGTAAGCTTTATTTCCTAACACATTTGTTACCAAAACAAATTTATGTTCAAAACATTTCGACCTAGTGGCAACCATAAATGTCATATGGCATAAATAGTTTATCGCATGTGTTGAGTCTTCATTTTGAAAACGCCATGAATGCCACTTGGTTTTAAGTCGTTTTGATTTGGTGTTCGGATACCAGGTCCCCACGAATGTCTGGGGAGTAGGGCAAAACAAAGGAGGTTGGCATCGTACCACACTTCCTTGAAGCCAATAGTGCAACCAGTTTTGTTGACTAACACTCGACCGCTTCTTTGAGGCATGTTTGTAATCTGTACAATTTTGCTGCTCAGACAACCACCAAAAATTAGTTGTGGAGAAACGTTTTTTAGTACGATGAGGACCAGGACACAAAAGAGCTGATTTAAACGGATAAAAACAAATATAGAAATTAGTTCTCACCTGCTATTTCTTGATTCCGCAAACAAAACTGTGAATACAGTGGATATGCCTATTGACATGTACAAGGGTATTTTACAGTTCAAATGCAATGGATTTAAAAGGAACTTGACTGAGCATCTCTGTGGTTATTCGCATCGTGCATAATTTCAAATGCGTACTTTGCACTTAGCCACTACAGTAGATGTCACTTGTGGCTTCCATCTTCTAATTGCTAATATGTCGAATATTTAGGAATGAACAAATGCGACTATAATCCAGAACAAACCCCTTTTTAAAGTCAATTCACTGGCAAACAGGTCTGCAAAGTGGTTAGTTGCATTTGTGTTAAATGTCGCCGAAAAACCACGAAAAGTGAATGATATCATCGCAGTAATTGTGCACGACAACTGTTTTGGAAACTACGAGGCTCACAGAAAGCACAAGGTGGCACAAAAAACAAAAACAACGATAATCGAGAAAGTTACACAACGTTTTTAATGCTTGTTTTGAATGTAGTTTTACTTAACTGGTTTGTATTTTCATTAAATCCCGAATAGAGCAGAGATATCAAGGCTGGTGACGTGAATCCCCAAAAATGTTCATTACATTATATTTTATACTAATGCAATAAAAAACTACCAAAAATGCTTGACAAATGGCATGGTTGGCCAAACAATCAAAACAGTAATTTGCGGCTTCGACTAAAATTGAGTTTCAACGAGTTCTTTGCAGGTTTAACAATCAAAATGATACCTTTTTTAAAAATATTTTTCCCTCAAATTTGTCTCCCATAGTAGTCTCAAGATTTGCAGACTAAAATGTTCTAATTAAAACACACTTAATAAAACACTGTCCATATCCACCCGTAACTGGTTTGTACAATATATTGCTGCAGAAATTAAGGTAGATTTATCACCTAGCAATCAGTCTTGGAGAACCTAAGGAAATCACGAAAATTTAGTGGTTGATCAGTTACACAAGTAAAACTCAAATTCCAGGTATTAGTGGACTGATTTTCATATATAAAGTTAAGTTAATTAACCCATTCCTTGATGTGCACTTGATAATATTTAAGCTTCACCTGCACTAGTCAGGGACAACTAATTAAGCTGGCAGAATATTTGAAAACTAAACCGAATTTACAAATGCCTTCGCCTAAATGGCATTTTACCTCCTCGGGGTAGTGCGCAAGTTTTGAGCCGGTGAGCTTTCTCGTTGCGCTTTGTGGTGAGTTGGTAGTGATACAAGCGACCGCGCCATGCATAACTTTGAACTATGATTCAAATCTAGATGTTATAGATGATGACCATACCTTGTGTATCGTGTTCTTTGTTTCATGTAGCCTTACTATAAACGTTTGCCTATTACCAAACCTTGTCTGTGTTGTGTTTGCGCTCCGCCGAGTCTTGCTGAAAAAACTTGAATACTTCAGTAATGTTTAATGGGCTGAATACCACTGCCTCATTAAATGCGTTTATTTTCTAAACGGGTACAAATTCGTGGGTCAAGTTTTTTCTTACATAGGTAAAGTCTTGCATGACATTATGGTCATGTTTTCGTTTAAGAAAGCAAGAAATTTTGCATCATTTCATCAATATCATGGAGCGCAATGTTTTCTCATGACTTATTAACTTGTTCGACAGATGTTGTGGAAACTTTATCATGCAGTGTACAGGTGTAGACATTCTACCATTTCTTGACGATATTTAATTGGCCCTCCTTTGCGGTTTCAACGCTCAGTAACTGTGACTGTATTCTAGTAACATTCAACTCTATCAAACCACCTGATTAGACACAATGCTTGTGTAATATTGCCTTTAGAAAACGGCACCCTCAACGCCCCTTCATGGGCGTACTACTGTCAAGGATATGGAACTACTTCCGTTCGGAAGGAACCAAGATCGTGATAGTGGGTTTAGACAACGCTGGCAAGTCGACCATTCTCTATCAGTTTGTATTAAATGAGACCGTCCAAACTTCGCCTACTATCGGCAGCAACGTGGAAGAATTTAGGTGGCGAAATTTGCATCTGGTGATGTGGGACTTGGGTGGGCAAGAGTCACTGCGCCCGACCTGGGGCACTTACTACGCTGGCTCGGAATTTGTCATTATGGTCATCGACAGCACTGACCGAGAGCGGCTATCCATTTCCAAAACCGAACTGTACAAAATCCTTGCGGCAGAAGACCTACGCAAAGCAAAAATCCTGATATTTGCCAACAAGCAGGATGTAATTGGATGCATGTCTGTAGTTGAGGTTGGGCATAAATTGAACCTGACCTCTATCAAGGACCACCCGTGGCATATTCAAGCCTGCTGTGCCCTCACTGGGGAAGGGTACGCTCTTTTTAGTCCTTGCGTTTTAATATTGTTTAATTTTTGAATGTTGAAGGAGCTACTGTGGAAAGTAGGCTTGGGAAGTGCCCATGTTTGACTAAAGCAAACTGATGTTCATAATCGGGAGGTGATGGTGATTAGGCCTTTCCTACACATTTCGATTTAATAAATTTCATGACTTTTGTCATTAGAAGTTGCCTAATTCAGCAGCATCATTTTCAAATGATTTTTCTTGTACCATATATTTGTCGAACAAATTTAAACCAATAGTACCGATATAATGCCAAGTAGCAAATGCTCGAGTTTGTTCAAATTCTTACTATTTTGCTTAACCACACTGTTCGAATTCCGTTGCTAGTGCAAACCACCATGAGTTGTAAGTAATGCAAAACCTTGCATCATTTTCGAATTGCCAAGTTTAATGGTTTTGGTTTCATCAATCTTGACGAAAGGCAATTTGTGACGTATAAGGCACGCCATTTCGACAGCATTTTGACATCGAAATCACCAAATTGAAGTTCAAGCTCATTAGAATGTGAATTCGAAAATAAGCGACCGCGAAGCACTGTGCAACTTCACACCTGCCCTACTCTGTGTTTAAGTTTGGAGTGAAATTGAATGCCATTTTCAGTGGATGCGGTCATGTTGTGCTGGGCCGAGAACAAGTATATATTTACTTAAACTGTGATTAAAGCTGACTAGATTTTAGACAAGTGACTGGATCTAGATCGAAGGCCGAATGAGGTGAATGAACCAAGACCCACATAACTAGAGCTCACGTCCTTTTTTTCCACAATTGACTTTAGATTACAGATCTGAGAATCCGCTCAAAACGACAGAATGCGAATCATGTTGTGAGATGTGTTGTTTAAAGGAGAGTCAATTGCGACTCCAAGGGTTTATGATACATCAGCCAGAAGTGTTTGAAGCTTGAAATTAACTCGACATTGCAGACTGTTGTAGCTCAATATTTAAAGTGAATTGATCAATTTTATGTTTAACTTTATTAAAAGGATGTGTGGAACATTGCCTGTGATCTTCCTTAAACTTGAGTGGAGTGTATAAATTATCTACCAGACAAATTAAAATATTGACTTAGCTTGTACACTGCATAAACCACTTGTTCCTTTTTACGCGGTCTCTGAATAGGCAAGCAATTGGATATCTGGAATAGTAGAGTGCAATACATTTGCGCATTCAACTACACAAACGTTGGCATTGATTTCATTATTGTGACATTACTAACCAACAGGCGGCCCCAAGAATTCCTTTCCTGACTGATCCAACAACTACAATGTCTGCGAAAACCTGAACGTACGGCTCAGAATTTAATCGGAAATAACGTGCAAACAACGTTTGGCAACCACTCTGGGATCGGAAACAGGCATCTGTAATTTCATTCTTTGAAGTTGTAAAAATTTG